CTTAGGCAACCTGTCCCTGTGATGCATCCCCTCTGCCCTTGTATTACATAATGTCTTCATGAAAGAAAATTTCATAGCACATTCATCTTCGTTTAAATGACTTGTTTTTATGTAGACACATCTCTAACATATGTAGAACCTGGGGAAAGAGTACAAATAGAGGTTCTCAAACCTTGTGTTTAAATATTTAAAATAGGCTGGGTGTGGTGGCTCATGCCTTGTAATCCTAGCACTTTGGGAGGCAGAGGCTAGAGGATCGCTTGAGCCCAAGAGTTTAAGACCAGGCTGAACAACATAGTAAGACTTATCTACAAAAAATAAAAAATTAGCCAGGCATGGTGGTATGCACCTATAGTCCCAACCGCAGCTGTGATTGTACCACTGTACTCCAGCCTGGGTGACAGAATGAGACACTGTTTAAAAAAAAAAGTTAAAATGTATAACTCAGGGTCGGGTGCAGTGGCTCATGCCTGTAATCCCAGTGCTTTGGGAGGCTGAGGTGCACGGATCACTTGAGGTCAGGAGTTTGAGACCAGCCTGGCCAACATGAAACCCTGTCTCTACTAAAAATAGAAAAATTAGCCGGGCGTGATGGTGTGTGTCTGTAGTCCCAGCTACTCGGAAGGCTGAGCAAGGAGAATCACTTGAACCCAGGAGGCAGAAGTTGCAGTGAGCCGAGATCACACCACTGCACTCCAGCCAGGGTGACACAGCTATCTCAAAAAAAAAAAAAAAAAAAAGTATAATTCAGGCTAACAAACTGTTACACAAAATATATTCCATTCTTCTACCTTGACAAATACTTCACAATGGCCTGGAAGGCCAAGTTCAAAATTGTATTTTATTTGAAATCCTCAGGGTTCTGCACCAGAATATGGTGGTGTAGGGGAGGTGGTTTTGGCCACTGACCCTCAGCTGGGCCCACTTCGCCTCCCACCCGACACATCTTGGCTGCAAGCAGCCTTGTGTGGAACCATGTGGACCTCCCATCAGGCCATCCCAACTCTGTCCACAGACTCTTGCAAGCAACTACCCTTTGTCTACCCTTTGACCTTGGAATGTGTGAACCAGTCACGTGGTCCAGCCATGGGAAGGCAAACTCAGGGAAGTGGTCCATGTGGGTCTCAGGAGTGGGTTAAACCTTTTGGATAGGGAATGCTTTTTTTTTTTTTTTGACAGAGTTTTGCTCTTGTTGCCCGGGCTGGATTGTAATAGTGCCATCTGGGCTCACCACAACCTCTGCCTCCCAGGTTCAAGCAGTTTTCCTGTCTCAGCCTCCTGAGTAGCTGGGATTACAGGTGCCCACCACCATACCCAGCTAAGTTTTTTGTATTTTTAGTAGAGACAGGGTTTCACCATGTTGGTCAGGCTGGTCTCAACTCCTGACCTCAGGTGATCTGCCAGCCTTGGCCTCCCAAAGTGATGAGATTACAGGCATCAGCCACTGCGCCCAGCCTGGACAGGGAATGCTTAGCTATCTGGAGCATGGTCCTGAGAGGATTAGGGTATGGGCAGAGGAGAGTTAGACTCTTCACCCATGTGGTGGGATATAGCCAGAGGAGGGCCAGGATAGAGCCTTCTAAAGCACAGGGCCCAGTGCAGGGACCACTCCTGCCTGTGCTTAAGGGCAATAATTTTATTTTTTTGAGATGGTGTTTCTTTCTGTTGCCAAAGCTAGAGTGCGGTGGTGCCAACATGGCCCATTGCAGCCTCTATCTCCCCAGGCTCAGGTGATCCTCCCACCTCAATTTTTTTTATTTTTAGTAGGGACAGGGTTTTGCTGTGTTGCCCAGGCTGGTGTCAAACTTCTGGGCAATCCACCTGTCTTGGCCTTCCAAAGTGCTAGGATTACAGGTGTGAGACACTGCACCCAGCCAAAGGGCAATAATCTGATGTTTCCCTGTTTCATCAGTCTGTAAGTTTCATGAAGTCAGGGCTGGTATCAGTCTAAGTTACTGAGGTGTTGCCAATACCTTACACAGGGCCTGGTGCAGAATAGGTGTTTAATATGCATTTGTCAAATGAATGTAGGAGGTACACCAAGAAGAGGTTGAGGATTTGGATCCATTACTAAAGATCTAGATACAATGATACAGAACTGGGAAAGAGAACCAGGCTTTCAGGGTTCCAAAAATAAGAGTACAGGACAGGGGAGAGGAGGGTAGCATCCTGGAATGCTGACTGTCTCATCTTCTTTCCTTTCTCTTCATTTTCTACCCCACTCCTGCAGGCCCTTTGCCTGCCTGGCCCTCTTTCTCCATGGTCCAATATCAGTCCAGCCATATCTTTCTATCTTTCTGTCCTTTGGCCATTGCTCTTCCTCTGAGGCCTACGTATGTGTCTGTTTCTTTGAATTGGTGTCTAGGTCTTCGTGCCCAATCTTATGTCCTGTCCCTTCCTGCTACCACTCCTACTGTTCTAGTCCTTGTTCCTCTCCACCCCTCCTGTTGTCCCCTACTCCTTTCATGGTCCTCTCCTGGAAGACCTCTTCTCTTCACCCCTCTCTTCCATGTGCCTACATCTCTGTGTCTCCTTTAATCCAAATCCCTGTGGAGCCCCTGACTTGTCCTGTCCTCTATCCCATGTCTACACCTACTGCCTCCTGTCTTCTTCTTCTGTTCTATTATTCCTGGAGTCACTCTGGCTTCATCTTTTTCATCCCTATTTTCTTGTCTCCAGATATCCTTGAGCCTGTCTGTGTCAGTATTCATTTCCCAGTCTCCAGTGCATATGGGAGATGGGGTCTGCTTTCTGGGTCCCCACTGACTGCCACAGACTCTCCTCTCTGTGCCCTTGGTCCTTTCCTCTGGTGCAGACTGGGTCCAGCCTGAGCCCAACCCTCACTCCCCCAGCTCCTTTCCCTGGTTTAGTGGTGCCTGGTCTGAGCCCCCAGCGGCTCAACTTGCCTGAGCTTGTTTAGTCTGACTCCCTTAGCCTGTTAGCAGCTTAGCCCTCCCACCTCTCCTTTGAGCCCTCCAGTAAACAAGAGGATCAGTGCAGACCTGACAGCTGCTGGTTGGGGGCAAGTGTCTGGCCAGGCCAAAGCAGGCATGAAAAAGGGGCCGCACTCAACATTTCCCATTCTTCCTTCAACCAGGGAAATTGTAGAGTCTCTTTCCTGGGTGTCCACTTTAGAGAGCTATATTCCATGGGCATGTATGTGAGGTCCTCTCTCTCCATGATCCTCATTCCCATTTTGTGTTTGGTTCCTAGGCCTTAGGCTTTTTGATTCTTTTAAGAAAACAGCAGTAGATCCTGGCAGTCACACAGAGAAGCTTGGATGGTGATGATGGTTTCTGTTCCTTAAAACAGAGACCCAGGTGTGGGAAGAGCATGATGTCATCTGATCTAGGTTTTCTAACATGTGTGTGGAAAGCATGGTAGGAGAGACCACATACAAACACACAGACAGACACATACACATACACATGGCCCCTGCCCCCTCAAGGGAAGCTGGGTAGACTCTAGGTATTCTGCGCAGTTCTCAAACTTTTTTTTTTGAGATGGAGTTTCTCTCTGTTGCCTAAGCTGGAGTGTACTGGCGCTATGTCGGTTCACTGCAACCTCCGCCTCCCAGGTCCAAGTGATTCTCCTGCCTCAGCCTCCTGAGTAGCTGGCATTACAGACGCCCACCACCATACCTGACTAACTTTTGTATTTTTAGTAGAGACGAGGTTTCACCATGTTGGCCAGGTTGTTCTTGAACTCTCAAAGTACTGAGATTACAGGCCTGTGCCACTGTGCCTGGCCTTCAAACTTTCAAGCGTGACAGACTTGCTGAAAGGGCCTTAAAACACAGACTTCTGGGCTCCACTCCCAGAGTTTCTGACTCAATTGATTTGAGGTGAGACCAGACAACATGTATTTCTAACAAGCTCCCAGGTGATACGAATGCTGCGGCTCCCAGGACCACACTTCAAAAATGACCATCTTAGATAATCAATATCTGCCAGCTCTTCCCCAATGTCTAAAGCTGGGACCAGGTTAAGTTGCACAAGTGATGACCTTTGGGGGCTGATGGACACCCAGGTCTCTGTGTTGAGAAAGAGGACCTGTTAACTCCATGGGAGTATTTGGGTGGCCTCAGAAGGTAGGGAGTGGCCTTTAACTCCACAGACCCTATTTAAACAGCTTCGGATAGGTTTAAACATCTCCTTGGATAATTCCTAGTATCCCTGTTCCAACTCCTACTCGGGGATGATAGCTGTAAGAGGTGTTAGGGGATTAGGCTGAAAATGTAGGTCACCCCCCAGCCATCTGGGAATTAGAAGAGTGAGGAGGAGAGAGGGGCAGAGACACACAGGGAAGAGGTGAGAGGAAGCAGAGGGCACTCGAGGGCAGTTACAAAAGTGTCTCCTATGGATGGTGGTTATTAGATTTCAATGTCCCTTGAGGCCCAGAAGCAAGGAACAGAGTTCCCTGCTCTCTTTTCACCTGCTCCTTCTCCCAAGCTGGGCTGCCTGTACTGGGGCTGGGATCAGCAAGAGTGGGAGATGCAAAATATGGGATGGTCAAGTCCTGGAGATCCCCTGTGGGAAAAGTTGCTTTCCTTTCTGATGCAGTGGATATGAGGGGCATAAGACCAGTCAGTCAGCATGAAGGTGGGGCAGAGGCAGAAATGTGAGGATTCTTCAAATTAGGAATCAGACCCAATAGGCCAGGTGAGAGTGGGCCTGGGAGAGCTTATAGTCTCCAAAGACACTGATGAGGGGCTGCAGGGCCTTGGAAGTTGGGGGTGCTGGGAGCTTGTCTGGCTCTCTTTTCCAGTCCCAGGCTACCCATGACTAGGGCTGAGGGTTGTGTTCATGTCAAGGGGTGGTGGTTGAGGCCCATGTGGCTGTCTGAACTGAGAAACTGAGCACTCAGGAGTTGGATCATCAGTGAGGAGCTTTGTTGGGGAAGATGCCCCCTTTCCTTCTTTGAGAACAAGCATACTTGGACTCTCCTCTCTCTCCATTTCCCCCAACCCCAGGCCAATAAGATATGCAAATGATCTCCTTACCCCATTGGTTAAGGGCCTCAGGACCATAGATGACCTCAGAGAGCTGGCCCTTTAAGAATGCCCTTTGGGCTCTGTGCCCACAGCCCCCTGGAGCTGAGCAGAGAGGCACCAGACCCTGCTCCATGGAGCCTTCAGTCTCTCGGGAAGCTGTGCCTGCCTGGCTCTGGAACTGACCATATCCTCTCTGGTATCCCTAAAGTGAGTATTTCCAGGACCTACCTGGGTGCCAGGCTGCTCGCCTAGAGCCCCTCTTTCAACACCTGCTCTTTGTTTTGTGTTTCTAAAAATCCTCACACTTTGGTACCCTACTCTATTCCCACCCTGGCTGGCCTGTGTCTCTCACTGCTATCACATCAGAAAGAGAAACAACCTTCCCCACTACCCCTTCTGTACATTCAATTCTTTTTGGATACCTCTCTCAGTGTCTCACCATCACCTCTGCCAAGGCCCAGTTCCTTTAATCTGTGTCTGTTTCCATCCCCTCTGTCCTCTCAAGGGTGACAGATTTAATGAAGAGGGCTGCAACCCTGCCCTGGAACAGGAAGAGAGAGGCCTGGGTCTTCCTCTTGCCTCTCTGGGTAAAGCCTGGGGTTCGGAGATGTGATTGGAAAGAGGGCTACCTAGGCAAGAAGGAGTGGAAGTCTGGCCGGGAGCGGTGGCTCATGCCTGTAATCCCAGCCCTTTGGGAGGCCTAGGTGGATGGATCACGAGGTTATGAGTTCGAGACCATCCTGGCCAACGCGGTGAAACCCTGTCTCTACTAAAACTACAAAAATTAGCTGGGCGTGGTGGCATGAGCCTGTAGTCCCAGCTACTCGGGAGGCTGAAGCAGAACTGCTTGAACCTGGGATGCGGAGGTTGCAGTGAGCTGAGATCACGCCACTGCACTCCAGTTTGGTAACAGAACGAGACTCCGTCTCAAAAAAAAGAAAAAAGAAGGAGTGGAAGTCTAAGCCCTGGGGATGAGCACTCCTTGCCGTGCCCCTTCTGGGGATGGTGTGGGAGTTACTGGAATTGGGAGCTTGACTAGAGCTTGGACATCCAGACTGGGGAGGATATCTGAGGTCCCCCAGCCAGAAGATCCTCAGGTGACCATGTGCCCCATGGTTGATAACAGACAGAGAGTTCCTTGATGACATAAGTTTAGGACACTTTGTGCTGAATTTGAACAGATGGTTTACTAAAGGATAGCTCAGGTTAATATGCTCTTGTGCTATGTGAATATGTAAGAGGTGGGGAAAGGAGGCAACATTTCTCAAAATTCTCTGAGTACAGACCTCTTCATGAGTATTCCTCAGAATCAGTGTCCCAGAGAACACTCTTTGGTATATGTTACACAGTCTAACTTCCCTCATTGAACAGAGGGAGAAAAGGAAAATAGGTTGGAAGGGTGAAGGTGATCTGCTTGAGTTCACACAACATAGTAAGTTCTGAATAGAAGAAGGAAAATCAGTCTTGGTTGATTCGCCTTGGAGAGAGTGGCCTTGAGGAAAGATGGTGGCCAGTTGATCCTGATCTTTCTAGAACTAATTCTAGGACCTTTCTTTTTTTTTCTATACAAAGCCTCTTGCTCCTACAAAAGGGATTCATTGATTGATTAATCCATGGAACAAAAGTACACTGAGGGTCTTCTAGAGGCAAGGTACTTCCCCGAGTGCTTTGAGAGACAGAGAAGTGTAACAGCACATTATCCTTGTATCTTAAAATTCACAGCATACATGTCTTCCCACTGTCCTAAAATATACACTTACTCTGTCACATTTAATTAAGCAATTTAAAAAAAAATGGCTTGGAGATGGAATGATGCCTCTTGAGATGACAGACCTCTTGGCATGTCTCAGCACCAGGGTTGGGAGCACTGCCATACTGCTCTCGTTTTTCACAGATCCTGAAGCATCAGTGAGGTGAGAGGCTGTGCTGTCCTCTTCCTCCTTCATGCCTTCAGCTGCTTGTCTCCTATCAGGAGCCCCTGCCCCTGAAAGGTTGCTCTGCAGCCTGTTGGGGGACTGTGAAGTGGACAGAGCTGCACCATCCCTCTGGCTCTTTCCCGAACTCTTGCTCCAGGGCACTTAGGCTTTGAGGGAAGAGGGACTTGGTGAAGAGGGAATGGCAGGTGGTCTCTATGTGCTCCAGACCTCTCCTCCTCTTTGCAGGTGCACTCCTCCCAGCCCAGCTCCAGAATGGCCCTGCCCCCCAGCCCCCTGGCCATGGAATATGTCAATGACTTTGACTTGATGAAGTTTGAGGTAAAGCGGGAGCCCTCTGAGGGGCGACCTGGCCCCCCTACAGCCTCACTAGGCTCCACACCTTACAGCTCAGTGCCTCCTTCACCCACCTTCAGTGAACCAGGCATGGTGGGGGCAACCGAGGGCTCCCGGCCAGGCCTGGAGGAGCTGTACTGGCTGGCTACCCTGCAGCAGCAGCTGGGGGCTGGGGAGGCACTGGGGCTGAGTCCTGAAGAGGCCTTGGAGCTGCTGCAGGGTCAGGGCCCAGTCCCTATTGATGGGCCCCATGGCTACTACCCAGGGAGCCCAGAGGAGACAGGAGCCCAGCACATCCAGGTGAGGGGTCAGCAAGCTGGCCTGAGGGGAGGGAGGCCGAGGGAGGAGGACTGCCCGAGAGGAGGGGGAGCTCCCGGAGAGGGTATGGACTGGGGCAACGGACAGAGAGCAGGAGAAGGGAAGAAGGTCCCTTGAAAGGAATCAGTTGGAGAAAACTACATTCTGTTTCTCCCCCTTTTCTCAAAATGGAGAGAAATGAGTAGGCTGAACCAGGAGGAGCAGGGAGAAGATAAGAGTAGCAGAGGACCAAAAAAAAAAAGAGTAGCAGAGGACCTAAAGGGAAGAATTGAGCTGGGGAGTGGGCGACTCCGGGAGGTAAACAGACACACGGTGTGTGGAAACCAGGGAAAGGGTTACCTGTGGAATGGAGCCGGGTTAAGACTGGTTTAGATTGGCCTTTTCAAGACTTCGGGCTTCCCAGCCCCCAACCTTCTCAGGAAGGATTGGGACTCATCCTATTAATTACAGACACAGGTGGGGGTGTTGAGGGCATTAGGATCTAATCCAAATCCTGTGAGGGTCACCGGGTTGCGGGTTTTAGGACAGGGAAACCCTCAGGTCCCCGCATCCCGCTCCAGGCCCGGGTGTGTCCAGTGGACCCGCACCCAGACACCCCGCAACCCTCGAGCGTTGGAGGGTTGCGGGGTGTCTGGGTGCGGGTCCACTGGACACACCCGGGCCTGGAGCGGGATGCGGGGACCTGAGAGAGGGGCCCGGGGTTCAGGTGCGCGATGGGCTCGCCTCACCGTGGCCGTGCACCGTGGGGCGCCCGCCCGGCTCAAGGAACGCTCAGCTGGAGGGACAGGGGAGCGTCGGGGCCTGGGGCGGGGTCTGCACCGAAACGGACTGCGTGGAAGCGCGAGCATTCCGGTGAAGGTGGGAGCCGGGGCGGGGCGGGGCGGGGCGGTGCTGTCCCGGGGCGGGGCCACGCAGCGTCGTGTCCCAGGGCCCAGCCGGTGCAACCCGGCGCTGACCCCGTCCCTGCACTCTCCCTCCGCAGCTGGCCGAGCGGTTTTCCGACGCGGCGCTGGTCTCGATGTCTGTGCGGGAGCTAAACCGGCAGCTGCGGGGCTGCGGGCGCGACGAGGCGCTGCGGCTGAAGCAGAGGCGCCGCACGCTGAAGAATCGCGGCTACGCGCAGGCCTGTCGCTCCAAGCGGCTGCAGCAGCGGCGCGGGCTGGAGGCCGAGCGCGCCCGCCTGGCCGCCCAGCTGGACGCGCTGCGGGCCGAAGTGGCCCGCTTGGCCCGGGAACGCGATCTCTACAAGGCTCGCTGTGACCGGCTAACCTCGAGCGGCCCCGAGTCAGGGGACCCCTCCCACCTCTTCCTCTGAGCCGTTCAGGGCACCCTGTGGTGTAGTGAGGGCTGGATGGGATGGCACCGCCCTGGATGCGGCTGCACGGTTCTCTGCATCGTTATCAGAGCGCCTTCTGGTCCAAGCCACGCCCTGTGTGACCACACAAATATCCCCAAAGCTTTTGGGTTCTCGAGTCATGCCCGAGTTTAGATGCTAGACATTTTTTGGAGAGGGGTCCCCTCCCCTTACGCAGGTCGTACACAGAAACCCGGCCCACATGACTAGCAAGCTGAGCTCTGCAGGGACCAGTGCCAGGCTCGGGGGAGTGGGGGGTGGAAGTGTGGTGACACAGTGAATGGGAGGTGGGGGAGGGATGCACCTCCCACCACAGTTTAGTTTCTAATTCAAGGTTTTCAACCTGTAACACATTAAAGCTGTAATTAGCAATGAGGCTGTATTTTCATTCTGAAGCTTGTAACCTCCCCATTTTAGCACTAAGGCATTTCAAGATTTCGATGCCCAGCAACTAGACAAACTAGGAACTTCTACCTAAGATGCTTTTCCCCTGCCCAACTCTGTGGCCTCCAGGGCCCAGAGTGGCACGGGCCTGAAGAATGAGCTCTGGGGGTTGTTGATGTGGGCTTGGAGAGAGCCCTGTGCAGAAGTCTGGAAACCTCGGTGCTAGTCCCAGCTCTTCCATGGGATCCCCCTGTCACCTTGAGCAAATTAATTGCTTCCTGAGCCTGTGTTACTTCATCTAATTCTCATTTGGATTGGATAATTTCTGATACTTTTCCATTTCTGGCATCTCCCCAGTATGGAAGTCCTAGTGGTCTCCCCAAGAAGTCCCCAAGACAGTCTCGCCAATGGCACCTCCTATCCTGCTCGTTTCCCACTGCAGCCTAGGCAGGATGTGCAGCCCAGGCGAGGGAGCCTAGCTTCTCTGTGAGCACATACATGGGTTCTCTGCAGCTCCCTCCAGGCTGCCTGGTTCTCTAGACCTGCACAGGGTGCTCCTGCCACCTTCCGCCTCCCTCTCTAAGTGCTGAGGCAAGACTTCTCCTGGGATGACAAGGAGCTGAGAGAGTGCAGCTTTTGTGAATTAAACTTGAAGTCCAGGCAGAATTCTAATGCAATCAGCTAAATGTTCTTGCAATTTAAGAAGTGTTCATTCTTTATCCTTGCTTCAGGCTACTGTTTTGTGTGTCTGTGTGTGGGAGAGGGAGAGAGAGAGTGAGAGAAAGGGAAGTCCCCACCTGGAGCTGAGTGGCACATCTGTTGTGGGGAGCCAATGGAAATTGGGTGGATGGGCAGGCATTGGAACAGATGGATCCTCCCCTCTCATGACCACCACCAAATTCAGAAGCCGCAGTGGCCCAGCTTGCCCTTGTCTGTGGCTATCCAGGTCTCATGGTTGCCATGGTAACCCAGCCCTCCAGTTCAGCAGCCTAAGGAGGGGCAGGTGTGGCCTCTGGGCAGAGCACAGGCATTGTGCTGGGAGCAGCCACCTCACCGGTTACTGTCATCTGTCATCTACTGGACATAATAAATGGGAGAAGTGTTCGGGCATGGGGGAAGAGGCTCCCATATGTCCCTCTTCCTTTCTACCCCCTCTCTCCACCCCCTCCCCAGCTGTCTCTTCTCTTCCCATCACAGTTCTTGCTCCCTCTTCCCCTCCTCTATCCCAGCTCGTCCCTCCTCCACTTAGGAGCCTGCAATGGGAGTCCTCTCCTCCATCGCTCTCAGAATTTCTGTCTCCACTCCTTTCCCCACCATTGGCCACTGGCTCTCTGGCTCCGGATTCTCTCTCTGATGGGCTCACAGACCTTTAGCTTCTCTTTCTTCATCTCCTTCCACACTCATTGTTGAAGGGAGAGGATGGGGCAGGGAGGGACCTTTCAGGAACCCAGCTCTTTTTCTCTCACTCTAAATTTCACCTGTGTCTATCCTTGCCTGCCCTGGAGCTGTAATTCAGAGCCACTGCTTTCTTGTCCACTTTTCTCACCTGCATGGCACACAAAGGCAGACAGACCCATCTATAGACATCTGAGCATACAACTAGGCCACATATATAGTACACATACCTGGGTCTCAGAATGATACTCCTAGGTCACCTGAATATACTTAAAAAAAAAATTGCAGCCGGATGCAGTGGCTCACACACACCTGTAATCCCAGCACTTTGGGAGGCCCAGGTGGGCAGATCACCTGAGGTCAGGAGTTCAAGACCAGGCTGACCAACATGGAGAAACCGTGTCTCTACTAAAAATACAAAATTAGCTGGGCATGGTGGCCCATGCCTGTAATCCCAGCTACTCGGGAGGCTGAGGCAGGAAAATTGCTCGAACCCAGGAGGCGGAGGTTGCAGTGAGCCGAGATTGCGCCACTGCACTCCAGCCTGGGTGGCAGAGTAAGATCCTGTTTCAAGTTGTAGTTCTACCAGTTCTTTGATGCTGGGTGGGTTAAACTCAAGCCTCACCTAATTGTCAGAAAAATGGTGAAAATAATGGTAACTACCTACTGAGAATAAATGCATTTAAATAAGCACTTAACATAAAGTTGACATGTTAAACAATAATATTGGCTGTTGTTGCTGATGTGATCATTAAGTGTGTGAATGTGTGTGTGTGTTCACCCATGGCACATCCCTGAGTCCATGAGTGTGACCCATTAAGGCCATGAACAGACACACACACCGACGCACCCAGGCAACCAGGCTGTACAGGTCTTAGATGCCCCACTATGTTCCCAACTCACTAGCAGACCTGCTGCCCTCCTTCAGTACCCCCAGCACCCATTCTTGGCCCGCCCCACAGCTGTGTGAGGGCTGGGGTTCAGCTCCTGGGGGACTCAGCAGGGCCTCTCTGGAGACAGCTATAAGAAAGCATCAGCCTACCTCCGTGACAGCCCCTAATTATCCCCCTAGCTTCTGTAATTAACCCCCATGATGCCCAGACCCCCTGGGGTTGGGAGGTGAGCGTGGGGGCTCCTCAGACCCCACTGGAACATAGTTGGGGTAAGACTGCAGAGACAGCAGCCTGCCTGGGCAGCACTGGCTCAGATTTTGAAATGTGCTGGTCCTCATTTCTTATGGTGTGTCGGGGGGTGCTGCAGGCTGCCCAGTGGGCATCTGAGGCATGATGGTTAGAGGCTGAGGTGCTAGGAGCGGTTCTCTTTATTAACGGCCAGAAAGTCAGGATCACCCAAGGAAGTCACTGAGGGGCCACAGCATTGAAGGGTATGGGGTTTGGAGAGATGGGAGCAGGGCCCACCACTCACGTCCAGGACCCAAGGGGCACAGCTGGTCCAAGAGGTGGAGGCATTGGTCACTGGAGTCAGGAGGGTCAGGACAGGCACCTGGGAGGGGGTGGGAGAGTCACAAGCACTCTCTTCTACACTACACCCAGCGTAGATGGGCTCTACCAAGCCCCACTTTGCACCCTCTATGTCCACTCCTTTGGGCCCCCCAGGACTCACTGAGAGGCTGAGGGAGTGTTGGTCCGGTGGGTGGCAGTCACGGGCTAGGGCTGGGAGTCGTGGCCAGTGTGCAGGGCCTCGGAGCCCCGGGGCTGATGCCCTGGCTGGCGTAGTACTCCACCACCTGCCGAGGCACCTCCGCCAGGACACACTTGGCGAGTGCAGAGGGGGCAGCCTGGGGGTGGGGACAGCTATGTGGTTAGGGGTGGGAGGAAGAGTAGGGGAGGCAGGATCAGCTGAGTTAGGGGTGGGGCTTCAGGGTGGCCAGCTGGGCTCCATCCTCCTTAGCAGGACATCAAATGGTGGAAGATGAAGGTCAGATTTGGGGACATGAGAAACCAGGGAGTCCTTCAGCCAGAAGGGGCCCAGGGGACTTACATCCTTGAAATCTCGGAAGGGCACGAACTGGACAATGTCTCGGGCTGCAGGCACCCCTCGGGGGCAGCGCAAGGGTCCGTCATCACCATCCAGCAGTCTCATGTCAGTGAAGTCAGCATTGCCCACGCCCACGATGATGATGGACATGGGCAGGCGGGAGGCACGCACGATGGCAGCACGGGTCTCGGCCATGTCACTCACCACACCGTCAGTGAGCACCAGCAGCACCGAGTACTTCTGAGGGGCAGCAGAGAAAGGTTGGCTTTGTGTGCAAGGGTGTTGACACCATTTCCACCAAGGTGCAGGCCCTGGCCCGGCACCACTTGAAGACACATGGGGCAGCTCCTCTTACTGTGGCTTGGCCGGTGCTCTGCTCCCGCTGGGCCGGCTCAGCCACACGGTTGATGATGGGGGCCACGTTGGTGGGGCCATAGAGTTGGATCTGGGGCAGGCAACGACGGTAGGAGGCTATGACCCCTGAGATCTCTGTGGGTGAAGAGAAGTGGTGAAGCTGGTAAAAATGAGCAAGGGACCCTCCTGACACTCTTCAAAGCAAGGAAGTGCATCCAGGTCTGAGGACTGCCCTCACTCATGAGTTACTTCATTGAGCAGTGGGAGAGTTGGATAGTCCCTTGGTGGGGAGAGCTTGGGGGCCAGATGCTGGGCCTCGGCCCTGGAAGCCTCACCTGATGCAGGCAGATCTGGGATGGGTGGAAGGGACAGGGAGCTGGACTCCTGGAAATGGAGTCTGTGCCCCTGTATGGGCTGTGTCTAGGGGGAGACGGGGCAGGTAAAAATCTCCCCTCTTACCTTCACATTCAGGATTTTCCGGGTCAAAGTTGATAGCAAAGTCATGGGACACCTGCACAGGCAAGGCGGGAGCAGTGAGGGCCTGCCTTTCCTTCCTGTCTGACAAGCCCCACCCCCATCTCCTTCCTTCTCTCACATCAGCCTACCTCAAAGTTGGGGGGGATTCGAGCCCCAAAGCCAAAAGCTGGGAACCGCTTATCACTAAGGAGAAGAAAAGGCTGTGGGGTCCGTCAAAACACCTCTCTGCCTGTTCCCTCCTGCCCCACTTCCTCCTACCTGTCATAGTCCTGGCAGATGCCTCCCACAGCACGCAGGGCCTGCAGGTAGTGGTTGGGCTGTCGAGGGCTGAGGCAGTGCAGGGACTGGCTGCTCCTCGGGTCTCCATTGGAGGCGGTGAAGTCAATGGCCACCTGGGTGGGGTGGGGATAGGAAAAAGGCCATGCTGCAGCCCTGAGAGCCACCAGGGAGCCTAGGCTGGAGCTGGATCTAGATAGAGGACTAGGATGAGTGTGGGGGAGGTTACAGGTGGCTGTCTCGTGATCCGGGGGCATAAGCTGACAATGCCGAGGCTCCTGAGCAGCCCAAGTGGAGGCAGTGGAGATTCTCCTTCCATTCTCTATGCACTCAGCCCCTCCCTCTTGCCTGTGTGCCCACCCTCTGGGTCTTTACCGTGAAGCTGATCTGGCAGCCACCCATGATGTAATCCAGGAAGGTGTGCACTTTCTCCACCTGGAGGTAGGGAGAAGGGTAAGGCGAGGGGATAGGGTGGTCCTTTGAGGAGGGAACTTGGGTAGGACTTCAGTGGGGAACATGGGGGAGGCAGAGTTTTTTGGGTTGCAGTTGGGGGTGAGATAGGGCAAGGATTTCCAGTTCCCAGAAGCAGAGAAACTGGTCTTTGAAACAAAGGAAGGGTTGAATCTGAGAGTATGGTAGGGGCAGGGGCTGAGGTAAGGGTTGAAGCAGGAAGTGAAATTTACCACGCACTGGGCCAGCACTACCGTCCCTGAGCTCTTGTAATTCTTCTTCTTGTCCCGATACTTGGGGTTGATACAGTCCCACTGCATCTAGACCCCACCCCACAAGCTCAGGGTCACAAGTCCATTAGGTGACCCCTCTTTCCCCCTTCCAGCAGAGCCTCCCAGAGCAAGATCCCCATGGCTCCATCCTCTAGCTGAGGCCAGGTGCTTTCCACCCTCTCCACCTACTATCACCTATAGTGATCTCTTTAGAATCACCCTCAGGATTCTCCCAGAGATCTGGGTGGGATTCTGGGGGTGGGAAAGTTGTGGCACCTCCTGCCCAGGGTTTGCCGTCCCTTCCTGCATCTCCTGGAAAGTGCTGGTGAACTCGCCAATGAAGTCATGCTTCCCACTGGAATCATAGTCATACACCAGGAACTGAGAAGACAGGGTGAGGGGTGGAGTCAGGTTGGAGATGCTCTGCGGTGTTCATGGAGGGTAGGGGGACTCAGGGAGGTAGGGGCCTCACAGTCTCGAGGTCCAAACAGACATCCTCAACT